TATATTCAAACTTATTTTAATATTATATTAAAACATTACTATTATATTCAAACTTATTTTAATATATACTAAAACATTACTATTATATTCAAACTTATTTTAATATTATATTAAAACATTACTATTATATTATTATATTAAAACGTTGTTTACAATTATATTAAAACGATTATACTACTATTCTTTCGAAACGTCGTTATGGAATTTACAATCATATATATTACTATAATTATATTACAATTACATTACTATTATATTCAAACGTCGTCTACAGAATTATTACCTATATAATTAAGACTAAATACATCCAAAACTACAACACGTTTGCTTAGAGGAAGTAAGCGCAACTCTGAAACAATAATGATTGAAGGACTAGTTAACATAAGCGATTATGACAAGAAAGAAATAATGAAGTTGGAAAAATAGGGAGTAATGAGTAAAGAATTGAGAACAGATTCTACTTTTTGAAATTAGAGATTTAAAAGAATAAGGATTGCATGCGAGACATGGAAGTTAGACAGATGCACTACAACATATTTATATTAAAGAAATAGTCAGAATTTCGGGTTTTTGATCAAAATGCAATCAACTATTTCTTTTAAATATTTGTGGGGAAAGAAATCAGATATTGTGCTTGAATGAGCGCTATTTCGGTTTTTCTGGTTCTAGATTATTACGTACTTTAGGGGTCACGCATGAAAGGCTTTAATTTATGTATAATTTGTCAAGATTCATATAATTTTTGGTTGTATAATTATATATATATATATATTTGTAGAGCTGAAATGATCTGACTTTATTTTAATGAAATAAAACATTTCATATATGGCTGCTAAAATGATCTAAATATGCAAAAGAGAGCTGGTGTAATCTTAAGCTATATGGAAGCTGGAATGATCTAAATATCATGAGTACAAGCTGTGTAAAAATATTCGTGCAATCATTTCGGATTATTCTTCGCACGTGCTTGTAGAATTCAAAGTGACTTGTAGAATTTAAATTGTTTAGAAAGAGTAACTGATGTCTGATCTTGAAAGAGACAATTCAAGTGCGAAGAATAAAAAATTGTCGAAGAAAGCAATGAAAAAGCGTACTAAGGACGTAATTTTTTGATATTTTTGAATTTGATATATTTAAATTTAATTTTCTTGAAATTGTTGTGTTTTATCTTGTTTTTGTTGAACTCTTTTATTCAAAATTCAAGGCATTCTTTGAATGCTATTATATCACTTATCCTTCTTTTCATTGCAATGGATTTTCGTTTTACTTATTCAGTTCCATGCACTCCATTTATAATTATTAGTTTGTTGATGCATGATGAGGTTATTGTTTAAAGCAATATCAAATTCAGTAAATGATTCTTGTACGAGTGACGTAAAAGTAAAAGTACATCAACCAATATTCATGTGATTTCTGGATTTAATCAAACAAAATACAAGTAACTTTAAATTCCAAGTGTGGGTTTTTTTTTCAAACTTATTTTAGCAATTATGTTTTACTTTACAGGATAGCACCTCAGATGAAGGTGTCATCGACACAACTCCTGTAAAAAAAGGAAGGACTGGTGGTGGTTTCAAGGACGCCAATGGTGATGAAGTATATCTGATCTTCTTACATTTTTCATTTTGAAAAAAATAATGACTTCGAAATGAGTATTGTTTCAAGTAGTTTTTTCAGAACTTTTGTTTTTTATAAATTCTTTAGATATTAAAAAATACTGCAGATGTTTGAGTTGGGAAAGATGCGTTTTGTGTCAGTCCGCTCATTTAAAGGTAAAGCATTGATCGATATTCGCGAATATTATCAAGATAAGGTGAGTCATTTAGATTTATGAGTAATTTTCTGGGTTTCACTAAACGTCTAATGTACATTTAGTTTGTAAGAAGTCCTATATGTGATCCGCTATAAGAAGTAAAAAGATTGTATAAAGATTGTATACGTTGTAGATATCTTGAAATAGAACTACTAACTTTTTACATTTTCGTAGTTCAGAATTATCGACTTCTCCTGGACAGTTATATATTTGTTTTTTAGCAACGAATTTAGATAATGAGCTTCTTTAAATCGCGTCATATTCAATTTACTTTTTAAAACATCAAGGTTATTTTTTACTGAAGTGGTGTTCTCGTATTAAACGCAGGATGGCTCGTAAATTCATGTCAAGTAATTAAAGTAAAGCATGTCTGAGAAATTGCATATCCATTGTGGCATATTCTGAAGTTTCACAAATTAAATATTTCATAGCATCATAACTTACCTATTGTATTTCTAGGCTTTGGAGTTTTCAGAAGTATTTAACGAAAATAAAACAAAATTTAAGTATAAAAATTTCAGTTCAGCAAATTCTATGATTTTCATGCTATCTATTTTGTCAACAAAATAATTTCTTATCACTTGATTCCTTCTGATTCTTCCGATTTTTTATTTTTCAGTCAAAATGAATGACCAGAAAACATTTTTCAGAACAGTGGTGATTTGAAGCCGGGGCGTAAAGGGATTAGTTTATCAGCAGAGCAGTATCAACGATTAAAGACAATTATGTCCGATATTGACGAGAAACTTAGTACTGTTTAATAGTTCTTCTTTTGAGAAAACCGATAATGACTGGCTTTGAAAACTTCATTTATTTGATGATCTCATGCCAGTTATTTCCGAGCTGTTTGTGCTTGGTTTCAATCAAATAATACCAAGTGAAAACGAATAAAATTAAGTTTAATGTAATTTTCTCTAGTATTATTTGCTTGAATGTTGACTTCTTGATGTTATAATTTTTTCCTGTTGATATTATTCCATTATGAGATATCATTATTTTATACATGACTGTATATGCACTTAAGTTCTGAAATGATAAGAGAACGTTCTAACTTATTTTCAGAATGCTCTTACTCTTAATGTAGAATGTAACGGCGACCTTTAAAGTGGAGATGGGATTTAATAAAGAATAAAAATTAGAAAAAGCTAGATTTGTTAAGATTTACGAGAGCAATCTGACTACAAGACAGTTGTATGTCACTTTTCTGGTATTCCAAGTGTTACGTAGGATTGATAATATTTGTTCCAAAATAATTAGCTCTTTGCTGGTTCAGTGATCAAGCATGCGTGTACGATGGTAATAGTCTTCTTAATGCGTAAAAACTTCGTAATTTTGGATCAGAGTCCTGCAAGCTGTGTTGCAGGTTTTTGAAAGCAAATAATATTTGGCAGTTCTTAAAAGATTTCCAAAAAATTAAACGATAAAATCCATGTGATGAATTGTGACTGCTGCGGAGTGGCTGTGTCCTGATTTCTTAAAATCCTATATAATCCGGAAACAGACCCTGATATCATGAAGCGGATAGAGCAGCATCTTTGAAATATGAGGTTTGCGATGATCTTTCACCAGTTTGCGGAGGTGTGGCGGAAGGTACGCTTCTTTTCGCAAGGAGCATCCGGACCGTGAAATCCAAATTAATCAGAGGTTGTCCTCGCAGATTCGTTTATGTTCATAATTCAGGTTTGTGCAATTTGTAACTATCATACAAGTTTGTTTTTAGATAGCATAGAAATTAGTTATGGCTCTTGCTAATCGAGGACGAAATCAAAAGCTACCACCTGAAGTGAATAGAATTCTGTATGTTAAAAATTTGCCATATAAAATTACAAGTGACGAAATGTATGACATTTTTGGGAAATTCGGTGCCGTACGTCAAATTCGAGTGTAAGTCTTACATTTGTCTTAATTTTTAGATCAGACAGCTATGATCTTCTGTGCAAGTTTTTTTCCACTTATCACAATTACATCATTTAAAAAAAATTGGGATTTGGTTCATTTTCGGTTTTTCTTTTTTTTAAAATTTCAGTATCTTTGATGCTAAAAATGAAATTCAATGCGCTGAAAAATTTTTTTGTCTATCAAATATATTTTTGAGACTCCGCACTTTGTTGTAAATGTTCCTATAGTATATGGAGATCTTGCTTGAAGCAGTGAAGATTTTTATTATTTGTCTGAAAGGTTGGACTTTTGCTCTTAGATTTTAAATTCTAAGTCGTTCGATTTTTTAATTTCGTTGCAGATTAGTTTCTTTTTTGAAAAGTTTCTATAATTCATTAAAACTTATGAATTTAATTAAATTCAAGGTTTTCCTACTCAGTCAATTCGAAGAACGAAGGGTATGTTCGATGTTTTTAATTTAATAGTACATCATTATATCTAAGTATTTTTTTACAGAGGCAATGCAACTGATACACGTGGAACAGCTTTTGTAGTTTATGAAGATATCTTTGATGCTAAAAATGCTTGTGAACATTTGTCCGGCTTCAATGTTTCTAATCGATATCTGGTTGTTTTGTACTATCAGGTCTGTTAAGTACTATATTAGCTTATTTTAAATAAATGTTTGTAATTGACTTGTTTAGTTGAATGTTTTTTAAAAAATGAGTAGACATTTTCGTATTATGAAAGAAAGTTGAATGGTTATTTTGTAATACTATTAATATTAAAAGAGTTGTCATTAAACTTTGAAAGTCAAATACTTTTTCAAACTTTTGTTTAGTACTATCAGGTCTGTAAAAATTTTAGTCTTTAATTTTCTTCTAGCTTCATTCGTTTATGTTATAAAATATATTTTTTATATTGCGCTTATAAGTTTACAGGCTACAAAGGCTTACCGGAGAATGGATACTGATAAAGCGAAAGAAAAACTTGAACAAATCAAAGAACGGTACAATCTTGGAGGTGATTTGGAGAAGGAAAAGAAGGAAAAGTTAGGGTATACAGCCACTCCCCAAAATTAGCGTTTTCCTGATTATTTTGATCTGTATATATTATCTAATATGTTTTGTGGCATGTAATTGCTCTACTTGATATCAGTGAAATAAAGTTATGTATTTCACTTTTGCAAAAGCTGGAGCGATGAAATTGTTTATTTACAGTAATGCTTATCAACTAAATATTTGCATGTCTTGCATTTTACATAACAACAATGGACGTATTTGCATTGACATTGCTCCTCAATAAAAACTTGTTTGGTGTAGTATCCACGTCCACAACATAAACTACCACAACCATTTGCCCCCGGTGATGTTACATTACACTCTCTATAAATTCATATCCAAAACTTTGCAGTAGACATTTGAAATATTTCTGGTGTTGCTATTGTATTGGAGTATGGCAGTCGGAAAAAGGGAGCACCCGGATTTGAACCAGGGACCTCTCGATCTGCAGTCGAATGCTCTGCCACTGAGCTATGCCCCCACGAAATGTCACCAAAAATTAATTAGTTATAATAAAGTAACTAGTTACCTCATTATTGTTCCATAAGAGCCTGTTCTACTGTCTTCTACACAGTAATCGGGAGAACTTCGAAGAAAAACCTATAAAATTGATAGTCTAAAGGGGTCAAGATAATGGATAGCGCGCAAAGCGTAATCCATTTTGTTCAAGAGAATGCTTATTGATTTTTCCTTTTGCTTATTTTACAAAATATTTTTGAAAATATATGAAGTATAATTTTTTCAGATTCAATTAATATCAACATTCAAGCAGTGTTTGATGTTAGATGAGGCACAATTGGAGTAAAAAATAAAGGAGGACATGAGGAGATAAAGGAGTAATATATTTGAATTTTAGCAGAAGACAGTAATGTTTGAATCAGATGTAGTAATGTGCGATAGTTGATGGAATCAGCGATGTCAAAAATTAAAATATGGTAACTGATGGTAAACTACAGCATTATAGAAAATAATAAGTATTAATTATATTTTTGGAAATAATAAGTCTTTATTAGTTTACTGTATTCCTAATATGATCTTACTGTATTTTTTATTTTCTCGATATTCTAAAAATTTTATCGAGTAAGTGCTTGAGAGACTTATATAGCAGTGGATTTTTATCCTAGCAAACCTTTAGTTTTTTTAATTTCATTTTTGTTTAGAAAATTTTTGAATTGCTTAGAAGTTTTCATTTTAATCGATCTAAATCAGTTA